GGAGCAACACCGAGGGTTGCGATCCCGTGGCCGGTCCCGGTCCGGTACGGGCGCGACACTGAGGGTTGCGATCCATTGCCGGGCACGAAAAAAGACAAAAAGGAAAAAAAAAAAAATTTAAAACCCAGACTGGCTGATTAGCCTACTTGGTTAGAGCATGATGTTGGTAACACCAGGGTCAATGGTTTGGATCCCCATACTTGGCCAGTGACCAAAAAAAAAAAAAAGATTAAAACCCATATTACGGAGGTTTTTTGGTTGTGAAGGGAAACTGTCTCAAATAAATAGTAATAGGAAGTTTATTATAAGGATACATAAACAAGAAAACAGAGAAAGCTAAATAGTTTTTTTTAGGATGGGCAGAGACAATAGTCAAACCAGACTGCTGAAAGAACAGGGTCTGTAGTTGAGTAGAATATCAAGACTGTTAACTCACTCAGCTACTCTCTCTCCTCTTTCCAGTTGGCAATTTTCCCCCATTCTTTTGTTCTGAATATCCAGGAGAGGAACCTGGCCCAGCTCACCTTTTCACACCATACTATACCATAAGCTGTTGGCCATCATAAATATGTCCTGTTCTTTGGTCAGGTGGCTAGTCATCTAGAGGAGAGCAACCAGCCTAGCCCTGCTTTCCTGAACTGGGTTTTATAGATAAGACTACTTAATATTTAAGCTAGATGGGGAGGTTAGATGTACCCAGAATCATGAATGACATCTCCACTATGACTGTATTGACAACAAATACAACTATTATTAGAAAAGAAATGGCATTTCCAGTATTTTTTTTTTTTCTAAAGATGACCGGTAAGGGGATCTTAATGCTTGGCTTGGTGTTGTCAGCACCACGCTCAACCAGTGAGCTAACCAGCCATCCCTATATAGGATCCGAACCCTTGGTGTTATCAGCACCGCACTCTCCTGAGTGAGCCACGGGCCAGTCCTTGCAGTATTTCTAGTGTGTGATCTTCACTTTAGCAGAAAATGTCTTTCGATTCAATCAGTTCACTATACTTTTCTTATTTTTTCTAGTTAACAGTATTGAAAGGGAGGAAACTAGGTGTTAAGTAAACCTGCAATTTATAAACAGGTTAATATTAAGTGTGGCTTTACTATGCATGCTAGTTCTTTTGATCTTTTCACTTTAGGTAATATAGGATTTGTCAGCCTTTTTTGGTGTGTATTTTTATGTGTAATTTGAAAGTAACTTTGCTTGCCAGGAATCAGAAACAAATCAGGGTATTGGTATTAATATGAAACAGTAGAACTCAAGGTAAGATATCTAGTAAAACAAAAAGGGTGTTTTATTTTTATAAAGGAATTTAGCTGCCAAGTTATATGGTATATAGGTATTTCACTAGAGGGGTTTTTGGGCAAGACTCTCTTTCCTATCCTGAAGCACATGAAACATCCAAAAATAATACTGGCTTTTCTCACGATACTACAAAATCATATTTCAGGTATCTCTGTTTTCTTTTTTTTTTTGGTGGCTGGTGAGTATGAGGATCCAAACTCTTGACCTTAGTGTTACAACACCTTGCCCTAACTAACTGAGCTAACTGGCCACCCCCATCTCTGTTTTCCTTTGCTTCTTTGAGCCATTGCTACCTTCTAAAATATATCTGTTGAGTATTTTTCGAGAATTATGTTTTCCCTCGGATACATTCACTTGCATTTTAAAAGATAGTCATTTTGTTTTGTTTTATTGAATATAAAAAGTAATATACGGGGCTTCCAGATTTAATGGCAGAAATCAAGAACCAACTCTTGATTCTTTTATGTGTCTTCCTTTTAAAATAATAGGATACACAAAAAAAGATACAAATGTCAGTAGCTATGGAACTGTTGTCCAGGTAGACAATAGCAGTGATCAGTAACTCAGGCTAAATATCTGAGGTAGAATGGCAGAGTCATTGGGGCAAAAGAGTTGGCGTTTTCCATCCACTTTCCTCCACTGGCCTACCCCCTACAGTAGGTAAGGATCTTAGCTGAAATATTTTTGCTCTGTGTGCATGAAATTTCATTATAGTCCATTTTTTATTTGCATAGCAAATTTTGGATAAAATTTTTCACAAGTTATTAAGAGTAAGTTTTTGGATAGTAAGCCTATGTGCAGGAATACTTGTATATCCTATGGCTAATAAAAACTAGAGGAATAGATACATAGCATAATACTGGCTATTTGGGGTGATAGAAAGAGGATTGGATGGTGGCTTTACCTGTAAGGTTCTAATGTTTTGTGCGTAGTTTATTGTTGTTTATATGATGTTTTAAAAATATACATGTAAGGGCCAGCCCGGTGGTGCACTCAGTAGAGTGCGGCGCTTGGGAGCGCGGTGGCGCTCCCGCCAAGGGTTCGGATCCCATATAGAGACCGGTCCGCTCACTGGTTGAGCGCGGTGCGGGCGCGACACCCTGGGTTGCGATCCCGTTACCGGTCACGAAAAAAGACAAAAAGGAAAAAAAAAATATATATACACGTAAGAAAAAACAACAAAAGCAAAAATACCAAAATCTTAACAATACTTAATTCTGAAACTGGAAATATGAGTGATTGCTACTTTCTTCTTTGAATTTTAATCTTTTTAATTAAATAACCTTTTTTTTTTTAAAGATGACTGGTAAGGGGATCTCAACCCTTGACTTGGTGTTGTCAGCACCACACTCACCCAGTGAGCGAACCGGCCATCCCTATATGGGATCCGAACCCGGGGCCTTGGTGTTATCAGCACCACACTCTCCCAAATGAGCCACAGGCCGGCCCTTAATTAAATAACCTTATTCACATGGTGGTCACATTATACTAGTAAATTTAAATTTAAAAATAGATTGTATGTGAACCTATAAATCATTTAAAAAATGGGTTGTATACCTTTCCTATCATTATAAGGAAAAAAAACATAAAAAAAATAGCTCACAAAAAAAGGGAAAAAAGTAAAAAAAATTTAAAAAGTGAAAAAACTAACATTAAAAAACAGTTCATAGGGCCGGCCCAGTGGCACACTGCTACAGTGTGCCGCTTGGGAGCGCGGCTGCGCTCCCGCCGAGGGTTCGGGTCCCACATACAGACCAGTTCCCGCTCACTGGCTGAGCGAGGTGCGGGCGCGACACCGAGCGTTGCGATCCCGTTGCCGGTCCCGGTCCGGTACGGGCGCGACACTGAGGGTTGCGATCCGTTGCCGGACACGAAAAAAGACAAAAAGGAAAAAAAAAAACAAAAAAAAAAACAGTTCATAGAGCAAAAGATAGAAAAATATAAAAATGAATCTATAATAGTAAATATAAATGGGATAAACTCTCCTATTAAAGGAGCCTTTTGAAATGGATCAAGAAAAATAAAATCCAATTATATTCTGTTTACAAAAGTGACTCCTATAACAACACAAAGTGTTTGAGCAAGATATATCAAGAATCACAAGCAAATCAGGGTATTGGTATTAATATGAAACTATAGAACTCAAGGTAAGATATCTAGTAGAAGTCATTTTATTTTTATAAAGGAGACTCTCCATACTGAAATATATCATCAATTTTAGCTCTCAGAAAGAGAGAGTGTATCTATAAAACAAAAATAGGTAAGTATACAAGGAGAAACTGGCAAAAACTCCATTGCTGGGAGAAACTTTTTTTTTTTTTTTTTAAAGATGACCGGTAAGGGGATCTTAACCCTTGACTTGTTGTCAGCACCACGCTCACCCAGTGAGCAAACCGGCCATCCCTATAAGGGATCTGAACCCGTAGCCTTGGTGCTATCAGCACCACACTCTCCCAAGTGAGCCACGGGCTGGCCCTGGGAGAAACATTAATATTCCACTCTGACTTTGACTGATGAAATATATTAAGGATCTTGAAACCCAGAAACATAACAAGCTAGGGGATTTAGTAGGTATATCTATCAAAGCCTGTATCTTGTAGATCAGGGGTTACATCTTTTTCTGTAAAGGGCCAGATAGTAAATATTTTAGGCTTTGCCAGCCATATAGTCTCTTTTGCAAACTACGCAACTCCACCATTGTAGCATGAAAGCAGCCATACACAAACTAATGAGCATGGCTGGATTCCAATAAAACTTCATTATGGGAGCTGGCTGGTTAGCTGAGTTGGTCAAACCGTGATGTTATAACACCAAGATCAAGGGTTCAGATCTCAAACCAGCCAGCCGCAAAAAAAAAAAAAAGTTGTGTTATGGACACTGAAATCTGAATTTCTTATAATGTTTCACATCATGAGAATTATTCTTTTGATTTTTTTTCAGCCACCTCAAAATGTAAAAACCATTCTTAGA